TCTTAAGTTTCAAGTATACACATCATCTGAGCACACGTGGCAGGAGTGTTCCTGGGTCCACTCTTACCCACAGTCTGAATTGGTACATCAGGGCAGCGAGAGTTCTGACAAAGATTCTGGTGATAAAAAACCTCAGCTCTGCTCTTGAGAACTGGTATAGAAGTTAAATGAGAGGAGAGGTAGAGGGAAGCAGGTGAATTTAGCAGCTGTGGAGTTTAGAAAAGGCAAAAAGTAGCCAAGTAACTTTGGCTTCACACAATTGCTTACTATCTTGTGGTTTGGGCAACTTACTTAATTTCTTTCTCTTGGTTTCCTCATCTGTAAAAGGTTAATAATGACAGCTATCTTGGGGTCTGTTTACTGGAAGAATAATTAAGATAATGCATGGACAATATTAAGCACAGTGCCTAGAATCTGAGAAGTGATAAAAATGCTAGCTTATATTGTCAAATGTATTCCTAATGGGTTCATAATTTCAACAACCCTCACATTAAAATCCAGGAAATAATAAAAACTCTCTCACCTTTAGAGTCTTCTTCTTCTTGTCCTAACAGATGAGGACAGCCATGTGAAAACACGAGTGACCTGAAGGCGTCCCCCACCCTTGGCAAGAGGAAAAAGCGGAGGCACAGGTACAGACCAGGCTGTCCTTTCTGACAGCCTTTCCCCAGACATAGCCTTATTGTCTATGGGACCAGCATCTGAGAATGTGTGGCCCTGGGTTATGGCAGGCCCAGTGGCCTCCTGGCTGGCAGTGAGAGGGGCACAGATGCCATTTGTAAAGATAATTCTGCAATTCCCATGAGGCTGCAGGATAATTTTTGTGACATTTTAAAGATGTGATTTTCTTGGTCTGTAAAATGGGTCTTGTCAGAATGAGTTAATGGAATTTATTAAGAAAGAGCTATAGGCTCAGTGGTGGAGTACGCATTGGCATGCACAAGGTTCTGGTTTCAATTTCCAGCATGCACGCATGGATGTACACACATGTGCACACACAAAGAAGAAAGAGTTAAAGAACTCTATATTGCATTGAACCAAACTTCTGGATGTCTATGAAGTTTGAGACTTTCTGGTTTTCAGAGGTGGGCTGACCAATGGTCAAGAGATGGCTTTTGGGATAAGGACAGCAGAGGAGGCAGGCACATGGTCCTTAAGGCTGGAATGTGTGGCTGTCCTTGGGAACATGTGTCCATACTCATATGTTCCTGCAGGACGGTTTTCACTGCTCACCAGCTGGAAGAGTTGGAGAAGGCATTCAGCGAGGCTCACTACCCTGATGTATATGCCCGGGAAATGCTGGCTGTGAAAACCGAGCTCCCTGAAGACAGAATACAGGTGTCTGGGGTCCTTTCTTCTTCCGAAGGACACTGCAGAGAATATGTCACAGTGAGGCAACCACAGCCAAGATGGTCCCCTTCTCTCCAAAACTGAGGTTAATTAGCTAAAGGCACCACAAGGGTCTTTCTGACCCTCAGGCCTTTTCCCCTTTTGTTATTATTTATTATTAAAGCATTCTCAAAAATCACACTGTATGTGTGTGACATCTAGAAACTGCATGAAGATACATCCATGAAAAATTACTATCTCTGTGCCTTAAGTTCTCAAAGAAACCACCATATATCGCCTGGCGTGACCTTTCCACACTTATGGTCCTATCAATATTCAGGTACAGATAGATATGTATGTGCACACATATATACACACACATACTTCTTTGATTTGTCAAGATTTGCCACTAATTCACTTTTTAAAACATTTATACTGTATTCCATAAAATTCTTTCACATGATATTCTTCATGAGAAATATTAACTGCAACATGACAACCTCAGAGTAGAAGGGGCCATTGCCTGTGGGCTCTTTTCAATCAATGATTAAAATCAGGAATTGCAATAGTAAAGACCTCTTTACACAAAGTACTTTGCTCCTGTTTTTCATTTCTGACTCACTGGGAAACTTCCGGGGAAGCAGGTGTCACATTACCCCCGCGATGCTGAATCCCTGTGAGTTTGAGGGAATGCACTTGAAAGGTCCTGGGCGCTCCTTTACTATGGGAAAGGGTGGAGAGTTGCCCTTTATAGTCCTGGGACATCCATGAGCCTCTGCAAGCATCCCTCTTCATGGTGTCTCTTCCTGTGCGCCCTCTGTCTCTCTTTTTTCTCCAACCAGGTGTGGTTTCAAAACCGGAGGGCCAAGTGGCGCAAGCGGGAGAAGCGCTGGGGCGGCAGCAGCGTGATGGCCGAGTACGGACTCTACGGGGCCATGGTGCGTCACTGCATCCCGCTGCCGGACTCTGTGCTCAACTCCACTGAGGGTGGCCTACGCAGCTCCTGCGCGCCCTGGCTACTGGGTAAGTCTCCAGCCCCAAACGCCAGAGATATGGGGCAAATGTCTCCACCAGGGGAGCCATTTGCAAAGCAAAGGGACTTCACGTGTTCTCGGGTTCAGGTCGGCAATCTCACATCTAATATCTATTTAATTACAAGAATTGTAGTGCTTGGACTTATTTTTCATTGGAACTGTGGAGGCTGTGTGCAAAGGTCCCGTTTGGCTATTTGCATTGGTAAAACAACATTACTTAAGAGTAGATGGATATTCTTGCCTTATGTTTAATATGTTTCCCAAGTGCTGAATGCTATTAGAAATTTTAGAGGTCACATGATTTAGAATACAGGTAAGAAAGGAGGGGCGATACAGAGCAGTGAAAACCGACGGCAATCACCCCATACTTCTTTTGAATTAGGAGGTTTGGTCCCGGGTCCTGGTTCTGCCCTTAACCACCTGTTCTGTAGCTTTTCTGTTCCTTCGATTTTCCCTGCTAAAATAGTCTTGGCTGGTGAGGTCCAACTTTGAGCTTGACCATTCTCTGGAGACCCACACTTAACTGCTCTGTTTGCTGTAGCTAGAGACCAACAGACAAGGATCACAGCTTGAGGGAGTGAGTCACAAGATAGGCATCCAGAGCAGATTAGTTAGGGGATGGTGGTGGTGTCAGGTTGGGAAGGAGTTGACTTCTTTGTTCATCAGTGTTTGAATACCTCCTTTTCAGCTAATATGCTAAGAGCTGGATTTACCAATCATTAATACAGTCTTGACTTTGTCAAAGGACTGAAAGGACTAGAGAGAATTTGAGGACGAGAGCCAAGTCCAGTCATCTGAAATTACACAAATAGGTGGGACTTCCACAGAACCTCAGCCACACAAGAAGTGGGTTCAATGCTGAGCAAACAAAGGGCAACTTTACTAGGTGTGACACCTGGTAGACACAGAATTTTCAACCCCTAATGGTAGCAGTTGCCTGCCTGACTTTCCTGTAGGTCCCAGAGACAGACACTGACAAGGATAATTCTAGCGGGATTTAGAAATGCACATGTTTTAATTTTTTTCTTTCCTTTTTTTTTTTTTTTTTTTTGCAAGGATGCATAAAAAGTCCACGGGAATGATAAGAAAACCAGGAAGTGAAGACAAGTTGGCAGGACTCTGGGTCTGTGACCACCTCAAAGAAGGTTCTAGTGAGAGTCATGAAGGATCCCAGAGAGGCTCAGACAAAGGGAGCTCTGAGAACAGCTTGGAAGATGTGGTCATGGATCTCTCCAGCTCTGGCCGGCGTGAGACCAAGGAAGTGCACCAGGGGGCTGATGCTGAAGGTTGCTCCCACCCTGTGGGTCAGAAGGGCTCCAGCCCAGGAAGGTGTGAGCTGTACGAGTCTCACAAGTCCCACCCACAATGACTGGAGGTGTGCATATTTTTCACTGACAGTTCTCAATTCCATTTTCTTATTATGGTGTCACATAAACTGCAAGGCCACTTGCTTTAAGAAGACAAATGCATGACTAAGGGAAAATTCCACTTCAGTTTTAAAATGGAAACCATTCCTTAAGGGCATTTGAACTGTTAATTTTGTGTAAAATTTTGATTCTCTTTTGTAGAACTTGAGCAGGGAGGATTCGAAGTTCAAAGGACATTTTTATGGCTGGGCACCATTTAAAATGGGGTTCAATATACTATGTAGATTAATAGGTAGAGCTGATATCTTCACTCTAAATTAGAAAGTAGTATTTTTTGTTTTGTTTCTTTTAAGGGTCGTACTGTATAGCCCATCTGACCTTGAATTTGAGAGCCTCCTACCTCAGCCTCTGGAGTGCTGGGATTATAGTTGTACACTATCACACATGTCAGGAAATACACATTTTTTTAAAAACTTCCAGAAGAATCTGATGTCTTTACAGAGAAGACTCCATACAGACATGTGAATGAATTATATGGTATCTTTTCCTTGAATTTGGCCTTGGACATTTCAATTTTAGTGTTAGGCAATAATTTTATGTTCTGAGTGTCATTTAATAGTCTATACATATTGGAACTCATAATCAGCAAAGAAAGCCATATTTCTCCTCCCCTTCTGAAATATCCTGGATCATATTTAAGCAGTTGTTGCATATCTACAAACAATGTCTGAAGGTCAGGGCAGGCTTCTTGGTCTTTAAAATTTATGTTGGAAAGCACTTTAGTGACTTGGATTTTATGAATGTTTCCTTTCCTGTATTTCCTTTGCCATTTATTTATTATTTAAAATAAATGTTGTGTGGTGTTTTTGCTTCTCAAGACCCTCCTTCCATCACACCTGTGCACACTTCTACTGCTACCAACCCTCTGCTGGGCTCTTCCCTCTTTCCCTTCTCAGTCTTAAGACATCTAGAGTGCTTTAGACTTCAGGCTGCAGTACTTACTGCAGGTTGCTTTGTAGATGGCAGTATCCATGGCTAATTCTACTTTTGGAGTTCAGAACCCAGGAAGAGACTGGTCATGTAGGGCTTCATGGAGAAGGTAGAGCAGTGGAAGGCCAGTGTGAGACTGCTGTTTCTGAGGATATTCTCTGTGCATGGGGCTGAGTTCAGCACTCCCATTTCTTCAGACTATAGACAAGACTCTTCCATCTTTCCTGTCTAGGGACAGCAACCTGGCTCTGAGCTTTGCAGCCACACTTCATCTGGATGTCTTCTGCCTCCCAGTGAGCTCTCCCATATTTCTTTATGTTCTTTCCTTAGATTCTTGCTCCCATCCCTTTCCCTTAGTTTCTTCAGGGTTGGGTTTGAGGGAGGGAGCCAGTAACTTGCAAAACGTATTTACTTTGCACTCATAGAACAAAGTATTATGCAGCTATTGAAAGTGACAACAATGAGGCACATTTATTTATGTGGAAAGCTGTTCAATGAGTGAAAAAAAATCCCTAAATAAAAGAGAAAAAAGATGCAAGCACAAACAAATAGCCTAAAGCAGAATGAAAGTGAAATAAATAACCATTAACAACTGGTTCTGCCTACAAATATATAAGCAATGAACAAAATTCTCTGCAATATTATAAAGGTGGCAAAGGAAAAAGGATTAGAACCACCAATATTGACTTTTTTTTTGAGGCCGGGCCATGAGTTCATGCCCAGTTGACCATGAACTTCTAGGCTCCTGTCTCACACCTCTTGAGTAGCTGGGAGTACAGATGTGCACCACTGCGACCTCCCAGCTAAGACTATTTTAAGTGTACAAAAAAATGTAATAGCTGAGTATGGTAGCACAGACCAGCAATCCCAGCACTTGGGAGGCTAAGGCAGGTCCTCCTGCCTGAGCTACATAGTGAGACTTTGTCTCAAAACAAAACAAAAAAGACAAGAAAAAGAAAGAATATACTATTCACCACTGAAATGTACATTAATATGCTTTAAAAAAAATCTCTTGCATCCAGTCCATAGGCCTTTTTTGAAAAAAAATATCCTGTAAAAGGATTCATTTTCTGGAAAAATGCACATTAGTAACATTGACTCCAGGAAGCTCTCTAACCAAGAAAGTCATAAAACCATTACACTGTCCTCTGGCTCTGGATCTAGGTGCAGTCACATATGAATTCCTGACCATTGAGTAAAATATCATTTTTATGGTGCTACTATTCCTAAGTCTAGAAAAAGACAGAAAGATTTCTAACTCTAATGTCACCCTGAGCTCCAAACCAACAAAGCTAGCACATCCCCTCTCCCAACTCTGTTTAGCTCCATCAATGGAAATGTGAATTCCTAATTGACCGCAATATTTAGAATTCAACAATGTTTCAAAAATTATCTTGGATTGCAAGATAATTTGGATTGAATGTTGCAAAAGGAAATTACTTTTACATTTATTAATAGTTCAAGTAAAAATAAGTTTATCTTAATATAAATGTTAAAAAGCATTCCATAAATTTAATACTTATTTCTGTTAATCCTTTAGAAAGCAAGAATTGAAATACTAAGAATTTCTTCACATAAGAGAACTTTCTTTAAAACAGCATCTTAATGTCTTACAATGTGACAGAAGAGCTTAGTCTTTGATGTGGCACCATCACCTTCTAGCTATGTGACTTTGAATGAGTAAAGTAGCTTCTCTGATCTCTTGGCTTTTTAACTGTAAAATTGAAACAGTAATAAAACACTCATTTTCTGAAAATTAAATGAGATGATCTGAGTAAGGTGCTTGCTCAGTTTCTGTTGTAACAGAGAAAGAACAACATATATATTCACTATTATTGTTATTCCTACGATTACCTCTATCAATACCAGGAATCAAATGAGAAAGCTTCTTATCCCTATCGTTATTTAACAACATGGGACTAACTAAACCATGGAATGGTAACTTTCTGGAATGGTCTGCATAAACAATGTTTAAGAAGAGCTCTAGGGAGCTAACGGAGTAGCCCAAGTGGGAAAGCTCTTGCCTAGCAAGTGTGTGGCCCTGTGTTCCAACCCTGGGACCGCCAAAAAACCATAAAGCACCCAAGAAAAGCTCTAGGAACACAGCAAAGTGCCATCTTAAGAGTAGGGCCATGTGTATCCTGTCACTCTTCTCTTGTCTTGGCTGTGTGAGTACCCAGAGTGCAGCTAGACATGTTCAACACAGGAGAACCCAAGTAGTTTCAGTCCTTCTGTCTGCCATCCTTAGACTTTCCCCTGCAGCTTGTCCTTGTCATGTCACTGGATGCTCCTGAAGGCCTGGTCGTCCCAGCCAGAGACCACTTATCACCCTGACTTCCATCACTGAGTAGCCCCACACCAGCAGGCTTCCTCTCATCCTCACTGGTCAGAACCTAGTGGGCAGAATTCCTTGTTTGGCTTAGTCCAATCAAAATTCACATCTGGATTAGGTTGTGGCTTGGCATTCCCTATGCTTTTGTTGCCCAATATATTTGGGCTCCTTGTAACAAAGAGCAAGAGGGAATGATTGCTAACTAGCCAATCAATAGGTCTGCTGCATACAGGATGTAAAATAGTGTGTTATGCGAGAAAGGAAAAATAAAAAAGAAGTCTAAGCACTAGGAAGTAAGCTGAGCATGGTGGTACATGCTGTAATCTCAGCAATGGGACACTGAGACAAGATGGTGAGTTTGAGGCCAGCCTGGCTACATAGTAAGACCCTGTCTCAAAAAAAACAAAGCAAAATAACAAACAAAAGTAAAAGTACAGCGTGCTGGAGCTGAGAGTATAGTTCAGTGGTAGAGTACATGTAAGGCCCTGGGTTCTGTCCTTAGCACTGAAAATAATATATACAGGGTAAAAAAAAAAAAGTAGAGGATCTGTACTGTGTCTCCTGCTTGGTTCTGACAAGTGCCACTTTGATAAAGAAGAGGCAAGCATGCATTAAACACATGGTCCTCTTGAATCTTTACTCAAATTGTCCAGCAGTCACAGTGGAATCTGACCACAGGCTGACAGCAGGGCTGGTCCTCTCCAGATTTCAAAATTGTGTGCCAGCTAAAAGGTGCTACCAACATCCAAAAGAGGATTTAAAAAAAATCACAATTTTCCTAAGGCCAACTTGAGAGATACCTAATGGGAACCAGTGTGGTCCTCCTCACTGCCATCAGCAGCAGGAGGCAGCAAGCAGCATGGGAATGAAGGTGTTTCCAGAAGTGACAGAAAAAGTATGGCATTCCTTAGGGTTAGCAGTATAAACACAATGAACTCAAAGCCCAACTGTTCTCCATGGTCTATCAGTCCTGTCCACATTTATTATCTCTTTCAGTTCTCACCGTAGGTGAGAAACTGGGCTGCAGAGAAATGAAGAAACCTTAAAAGGTGATGGTCAAATGCATAAGAAACTCAGCTGGGCTGGAGGTGTGGCTTAAGTGGTAAAGCACCTGCCCTCACAGGCATGAAGCCCTCAGTTTGAATCCCAGTACTGAAAAAAAAAACAAACCCCAAAAAATGCTGAGTCAAGAAGAACTAAAACACCCTTTTAAGAACAAGGTGGACAGTGTAGTTGATAACAGATTAATACTTTGATAAAGCTTCAATAATCATTGGCTTAGGGGAGACCAGTAGTCCAAGGCATTAGAATAAAGAGCAGGTATGTGGCGTGGTTGACCACTGAGGCAAGGGCTGACTTTTTGATAAGTTATTGGGACAACTGTTTATCCATATGGGGAAAAAATTAAATTAGACCTCTGTCTTACACTTTAAATATGAAAGGTAAAACCATAAAGCTTTTTGATGTTTTGGTTTAGATGACACTTCACTTACCCCAAAACTGTGGATTAAAACAATCATTTTACAAATTAGTGGGATCTGATTCTGGCTTGGCTCCCAAGGGGCACAGTCATTCTCTCTCTCTCTCTCTCTCTCGCTCTCTCTCACCTCCATCTGGCTGAAAACAAGACTTTTGTCTAAAGCTTTTATCCAGTTATTCAGGAGACTTAGGAAGGAGAAT